AATAAAAATATATAAACGGTAGACATACATCTTCTCTTTTTTATATATATAAAAAGAGCTTATAAATGAAAATCATGCCCCTCATTACAATTACATCCGTCTTCCTTCACACTAAAGAAAACAGATACAATCAAGATAACTATTAGAAATACTAAAAAGTACCCGATACAAAATATCAGTTTTATCGCGATAATTAATAACAATAAGCTTCGTACAAAAAGAGGAAGAGCATAAAAGTAGTAAATGAAAAAAATGATGAGTAGAATAAGCATCTAAACACCGAAAGAATTTTTTATAAAAAGTAATATGCTACCTTTTGTCTGTATAAATTCCTTCTTGATTCTTCTTGATGGTCTGTCACATTATGCACCTAGGGAGATTCATCTCTAAGATTTAAACATTATTCTTTCCTTTTACATCTCCACCAACCTGGAAAGTTTTTGAATACGATTAAGGAGTAAATCGCCATTCTTTATAATGTTATGGTAGTCAAAATTTATAGCATTACCGCGATAAGTTGTGATACTATTATCCACTCGATCCATTTTACAAGCGATGCTTTCGTTGGCAATCAAAGTACAAAGCATCTGATCCAGCACTGGCAAGGGAATCCCAAAAGTGGCTGCCATAGACTGTAACGTCACACTGCTGTATGAGTCTAGAAATTGGGTAAAGACGAGAACACGAGTCTTTCGGAAGAAGTAATTTACGTGTGGCGACACGTAGACAATACGTCGCTGCTTTTGGCAGACTACGTCCATCGCGGGAAAAACGTCTCGATACCTACAAGCATGGATCGCATTCACAAAATCACAGAGTTCTGGCAATTCCGCACTGATCACCTCAGGGCTGTCTATGATACGCCTCTTCAAATCTGAGCGACTAAGTACAGGTAAGCTGGCTATCACGGTGATAAAAATAAAGTCTTTAAATGAAATTAACTCACCAGAGGCAAAAGTAGTGATGCAATCAAGCAAAAGCTCTGAACCGCGACGAAAGTCTCGCACCATTACATGGTAAACGCCTTCGTACACCTTTAAACGGTTGCGTCGTTCCCAATCACCACCTACCATCAGACGATGCGCATCTTTGATGCCCTTGGCCGCGACTTCGTTATCGGAGAAAGCGATTCCGAGGCGAATGCGCTGAAAGTACAGATCCAGTTTACGACCCACAGCAAGCGTTTTGGCTGCGCATTCATCGTTATATTTAAGGCATGCCTCGAAATCACCAATGCGAGCGTAGTGATCACATTTGGCCTGCAGTGCATCCCTCACTTCAGTATCGCCAAGATTTTCCTGGGCATCCTTCAATTTTGTGTCAATAGCCTCTACCTTTGCAGTGTTAATGGCATCCATCTCCTGCAGTTTGGACTCGTCCAGTGTTAACTCCAAGGCTTCTCGTACAATCCGTAAGTATGGTGCCATGTTGTGCTCTAGCATCTCTTTATTCATTGCTGAGATCGCCACTTGTCGCTCTTCGGATGTAGAATACGGTGAAGTCAGTGTGTGCCGTGCATAAAGAAGAGCCAAAAGAGGATCTAACGGAACCTCTTTATCATACCCTTCAAAAGAAAATTCTTCATCCTCCTCTCTGATTCCCTTATTTGTTTCATTTACATTAAACTTGCCGCCGCCCCCTGCCAGCAATTCAGATGCAAGCATTTACTGTTGTTGTTTTACGTGGAATGACTAAAAAAAAAGCGGCAGTTAAACAATAGGGCGATAAGAGAATGACGCACTAAGTGAGAAAAATAAGATATTAGCTATAATATTTTCACTAAAGTAATGCAAAAAAAAATCTTAAGGAAAGAGAATATATATAGAAATGGAGAAAAAAAAGGTTGATTGTTTACAATATCCCTTTAGATGCATGCAAATAGATTACAGGAAGATACTACATGCGGTTTGAGTTTTTTTTATTCTCAGAAATACTCAGTTTCATGAACATAGTGCGCTTGTGACGAGGCTGGTGAGTTGATAGAGTGTTAAACTGGGAGAGCGCCTCTCCTACCACAGTCACGTGGTGGCACCCTCTGTCATAATTTTCGCATTCCGCCTTTAGGGATTCCACTTCAGCTCTACAGCAAGACAAACTCTGTGTCCCAGAAGTGGGGTGTGGCACCAGGCCCAATAAGGGATGCATCCCAATGCACTGGAGCCTCAGGGGATTGACATCCCTGGCCCATTCATCCCAGCTTCGGGAAGAACCCTCACCTTGTGTAGACCTCATTTAGCACCCGTGGACGTCCTTGACATGCCGCGGTGGCACTGTCGACCAAACGGTGAATGTTCACAGAGAAGTCGAACACGGAGAAGGGAAATCCGGTTTGCCGCATATCCCACAACATCATCCGCGCATCACCGTCGTCTCAGCTTGCCTTCTCAATAGTTCGACTGCACAATTCCTACAGTGGTTGCTTCTAGGAAATGTTTTTCTATCAGCTCTTGAATCACTTCTTGTCCTCATTCAAAGCCCCTCTCCATAAAGGGAAAAATATTTTTCCATTGCCAGTTTTACTAATTATGAGGATACTTCAGGCACAGAGGTGCTTACACATACTTTATCGTTTTCCTTCAAGACTGCAACCTCTCTACTTCTGCCTTAGAACGTTATACCAATGAAAGCTGGTATCAATAAGCATACTAAAATTTATCCATTTATTTATGTCACCTTGCTGCACAAAACCGCTTGTCGTAATTATTTTCTGAAATTTAATCGAAAATCATAAACGATATGTAAATTGCTCACATACGTCAAAAGTGATAATACCCGACAGTTTAAGCGCATGGTGTAAAATTATCCTCTGGACTTTGCTATCGTTCCTGTGGAAAATCTTAAATAAATACAGGTTAAGTCAATATACCAATATGACTCCGAATCCTTGTTTGTACAATACACGTCATACCAGCAGTTACAGTGAGCTCTCCCTCCGTGTGAGGTCTTTTAATAAGGTAGCGATCAAGTTTGCTGGACTCAACATACCCCACCGCGGTATTTACACTAATAGCAGTGGCAGTGAGACTTCAATATTCACATTCTTCGTATAAAATAAGTCCAGTTCTAGGTATTGAAAATCAAATTCATCATTTCATTCGTGAAAAGTGTTGTACTACAGACTCTGATTTCCGATGAATCTGGCAACCGATACATCAATCGCATTGTCTGTATTCAATATAAGGAATAACATTAAAAATGAATTGTTTATTATTCAATGCATACTTGTATATATGTCTTGCTCTTTCTTCCAAGGACAAAGTTTAGAATAGTCAGATTATGCAATTCTCAAACGCAAAATGGGATACACTAGAATATTTATACAACTAAGGCAACCGTGCAATCATATTCAGGTTTATCGACCATCCTCCAGTTCACTACTCGTTGGGCCTGCCCCTAGTCTTTCACATGCGGAACCGCTAGCTAGTACCTCAGCTTTCCCAGCACCACTAACGTCGCTACATGGGTTGTCTATCTCTATGCGCCTACCATTGTGATCTAAAGTTTAGTAACTATGAAAAATTTTCCTGTGTTTTTTAAAATACTATTAGAACTTCATATCATTAATCAAAATTGAGCAAATAATCGTATATATTAGGAATAAGAAGTTACAGTGTCACTATCGTAAAAGTAAACTCTAGAAAGTGAATAAACTATACGTGATAATCTGACTCTATATTCCACAGTCTACACCATCTTGTAAATAACTCCCCTCAACATGAGTTCATTATTGCTAAGAGTTTGAAAAAAATAAGAAAGTAATTAAACTGATATAGAATTATATGATTAAAACACCTAAAAGGATATATTGAAGTTCAGAAGACGAAAAGGTTTCTAACAAAACTGTTACTATTCCTTCTATGGCGTTTAGACTCCATCATCAAATTTGCCCTCCAAGTGACGCTTAAATAAGGAACTGCGCGTTTTTGAACTTGTGGTCCTACACATAGAGCCCAAAACAGGCACTGAATTGGATTCTGGATTCACATCGCACTCTACAATGTCACCTATTGCAAGAGATCTTCTTTCTGGAACAGGAGCATCATGAATAGAGCCTTCTTTTGAATGAAACTGCTTAGTCATAACTTCATCGTCTTTAAAATTATCACCCCGCATGGAAGTTGAGGTTGACAATTTCAACGAACTAGAAGAATTATTACTAGGATTTGTGTATTCACTAGCAAATGTAACTCGTCTGTTAGTTTTAGATAAAGAATCTCCTTTACTCATTATCGAGATTGGGGTCAGTGTTGAAGCCTTCTCTATTGGCGATGAAGATGCTATACCTGTCAAATTTACTTCTGGCCCTGCACTCCATTCCCTAAAGCCTATATCGGCGGGGGAAGAGAAGGCACAACTCAAAGGTGAGGCCTTCAGCTCTGGTGATGTACAATGCTCACTTTGACTATGCTGAGATGATTGTTTTGTGTTTTGCTCACACATTAATGCATTATCGGTTCGAAAATATGGAACCATTGTAGATGATTCGGTTCGACTCATCTCAGCTTTAATGCGTTTTTCTTTTTTGGCAATCATACGAGCAGTCAGTATTCGCTCAACAATCTCATCATTATCGAGCATGCCACCCAATTCTTTTTCAAGCTCCGACAGCTCCTCCTCTGTAAGTTCGTCCTGCTCATCAAATACAGCAAGTTCTGGATTGTCAGCAACAGCCCGATCAAGCTCTTGAACAGCAGATTCCTTTTTCGCTGTGATATTAACTGAATTTTTAGGTGTCTCGGCGTCACCACGGAACCCATGAGACGTCATTAATGCCTCTGAAAGGCCTTCTTCTGTTTTCTTCATCAGTTTCGCCATAGCTATGTTGGCCTCGGGAATCTCAGAGGTAAACATTTCTTGCCGCTGTTGAAGAACCCTCTTCTCCTCCTCCAATACCTTTACCTCACGCCTCAAAAAGTCAAGGCGGCGCTCTGCTATGGCTGCGGCTTGTACCGCACTCCTCTCGGAAAACCAATTTTCGCCAAGTAACACAAGTATATTGTTGGTGCTAATGAGTTCAGCATCAAAGTAAGCTAAACCTTCCGCAACAGGTGCTAATACTTGTCTACGGCTTTGGTTAGTGATTGAACTAAGTGTTTCTTTGAGCCTAGTATATTCTTGTATCTTAGTCCGCTCGTCTTCGAGGTTAGATTCATTTTTTTTAAAAAGGTACTCAAAGAGCTTTACCCCAGTAAGTATATCACCTGAACCAACTTCCTCAAATTGCATGAATAAGAATAATAAAAGTGCCTAATATTTTGTTGACGTCTTCGGTGTTAAATTCCTAGAGGGAAAGAGAAGGTGAAATAAGGAAATTTACATTAAGAACTTTTGATATTAATTTCAAAACTTTTGTGTATATACCAGAATCACTTCCTCAGAAAACTTATATATCTATGATCCCATTAAAGGTGCAATACACCTTTTTTTTCTTCGCCATTCTAAACAAGCACAGCAATGCTTGTAGTTGGGTATGTATATTTACATAACTTCCTTTTTATGCAACCTTCCCTGTGGTAGATGCAGCAACCAAAGTATCCAAGCGAATCTTCTCAGCCAGACGATTACAATCATCTAGCAAATCATTATCGTAGGGCGTGATGCGAAGGGCCTGTTCGAGAAACACATGTGATTTTCGGTAATCCTTAAGGCCACAGTGGGCTGCCGCCATCCGCACATAAGCCTTAAGCAAAAGATAAACATGGGCACTGTTTTGGCTCAGCTTTGCAGCTGCCGCACGACGCTCCCGGACCATCTTCCCTTTGAAGTGATCCATCTTACCTCTATCACCATCGGTTTCAACCCTCCCGGAAGACATGAAAAGTTCTTCCCCTTCCTCCTCATCCCCTAATTCAAAATTTTCATCGTCGCTGTCCATATCGTTACCGTCCGAAGACAAAATACCAGGCTGATTCAGAGCTGCGGCGACCTCCTTACAGAAATCAATGATGTGCTCACATTCCTCGACAACTTCGTTGAAACGCCCTAGTAGCAGTAAGCACGCGCTTAGGTTACTATGGGCATGCACTCGATAGGGATCTTTTGCAAGAACCTCACGGTACACCTCAACCGCAGCCGCGTAGTCTTGACGATAGTACAGTGAGGATGCATTTTGTAATAAGCTATCCAACGGATCCTGAGCGGCGTCGATGGTCAACCCACGCTCCGCCATTAGCTGTTCCGCTACCTGCAAATCTTTAACGATGTCATCGTCGCCGTCCGGATCACGATAAGCAGACGCCATGCGTAACTCGGTGACGCCATGTACAAGGTCATCATTCCAGCAATATGCTGCCCCACGCCGAGCATGTAAAGTCGTTAAAAGATAACGATACCGATCCTGTGTTATCTCACTCGCAGGCATGTTTCCCAACAACGTCAGGGCTAAGGTACAGTCTTCGATGGCCCGCTTATATTCACCCATGTGCAAAAAGCAGGCGGCGCGATTCATAACACAGGTAAGAAAGACGCCATCACGCTTAATCGACTCCGAGTAAGCGTCCGCAGACAACCTCCACTCGTGTGTGCGGTAGTGCTGGTCACCCTTTTCCTTCCAGAACATGGGACTATCTTCGATCGACACTGGCTTGTAGCGGCTTTTGCGGTAGTACTCCTCATCGCCACGAGAGCGGGTCGGCAGAACAAACATCTTAGGTGTAAAGTCAATGGCCACGTTAACGGTGCTTGGCCCACGCACTGGCGGTGGATTGTCATTCGTCTGAGATTCTTCGGATAATGCTCCAGCTGAATCATGCTCATTTGTTAAAGGTAAAATGCATCCAGGTGACTCTGGTGTGGCTCGGGAGGTCGTCGTCCCGTTCAATTTATGAGTATCTTCCCAGGCATAGAGATCCTCCTCAGCGGCAGCTTTCTCGGAGTTAAAGCGATTCTCAATGACGCGCCGCTGTTCCTTTTCCACCTCCCATTGTGCCTCTGTCATGCGTCGGTTCTCAGTTTCACGCTGCTTTGCTCGGAGTTTAAGCATTAGATTATAATTCTCCTCTGCCTTATGCATGGATTGTATACGACGTTCCAGGATTTCCTTTTTGGAAACTTCATCCGATGGAACACAGAGAATTTTCCAAACAAGGCCTGGATCTGCTTTTTTGAGTCTGATATGCAATAGAAAGGAATTCTCGCTATCGAAATAATGCACACATTGGTCTACGACAACAGAGTGAAGAAGATCAAGTGTAAGCAAGTAAGTAGGTGCGGCATTAACCTTCACAAAAACATCGGAAACGAACACATCAACGGCATTCTTCTTGTATCCTTTGATGGCTATGTGTAGCAATACATCATCCACTGTTTGCTCCCATTCATACTGAGGTTTGATTGGCATAGAATAAAAGAATAGGCCGAAACACGATTGAGCTAAAAGAGGGAAAAAAATGAGAAAAGTAAAACCCTAAGACACGTTTGTCTACCGTTTCCTAGCTTTTATAAATCTGAATAACTTCAAAAACAGGAGACTGTTGCTAAGCAAAAGAGGAGGTTAAAGCACCACACTATGGAAAAAAAGAGTTTTAAATTAAAAATAGCATAATGTGATTGCTTTTGATATTTAACATATAGTAAGCAATCAGTCATCATCTACAATATGCGCACGATCTAACGTTTTTGTTAGTAACTTATAATAGCACTCGTGAAATAGTAAGCAAGGGTATCAACAAAATAACAGATATTATATAGATTTTTAAGAAGTTTCACGAAATAATGAAATAATAGAAGGATAATGAAAAAAAAATTCTAATAAGGATCAAGCATAAGCAATATCACAAGCAGAATCAGAAATAAGTGAAGAAATATGCCACTTAAATTAGGTATAGAATAAAAAACGTGATACGAAATTCGTTTTGCTTGCACCTTATTAATAATCGTGAGAATACTCATATAGACTCATAGAGAAAAAGAATGGTTACGATGTATTCTTATTATTATTCTCGACCCTTTCCCCAGTGGCAAGTGATACGGGGGTTGTATACCCTTTTATTTGGAACATAGGCAATATGATTTGCTTGATGCGATGTTTACGTTGTTGCTTAAGCTGATGTGCCGCATTTGTTATTACCTTTCTCGCTAAGATACCTGTTCTTTGCCACAAACATTGCAGTGAACCTCGCATCTTCGCGACCCGGTATGTCCAGGAATCATTTAAACCCATAAGTTCACTCAAACCGGTAACCACATAGAATGCTGCGAAGCCATCTTCTAGACGTTTATCGATGCTAAATTCAACTGGGGATTGCTTAACCGCACCGTCCGTCGTGCTGCGTGAACTACTTTGTGAAGAACTTATTGTGTCGTGACCAAGAACATCTGGATTTCCACTCCATTCGTAAATCGATGAAAACACAGCAGACGAAACTCGACACTTGTCAACATGCCCACTACTCTTGATGAGGCACTGATGCAAATGTTTCTGATGAAAAATTATTTGATGCTCTTTGCATACACGCCAGCAAGAACTACAAATAGGCTCCCATCCAAGGCTAACGCGTTGGTCTCCGCAACACACGTCAGGACCCAAGCCACATTCTTGACAGCATTGGGGACAGAAAACCTGACCACATCGCCCGCACCTTACCCGCATGACAGTTGTAGAAAAAGCAGCACCACATGTGAAATCAGCGCAACGAAGTGTGTGGCGAGGGATGAGCAAAAAATTAGCAGGATCTTCGATGTGCTCACTTAGTGCAGACCGCTCCAGACTATTCAACGCAGGCAAAATTGAATTTACCTCCTTTAGAAGCACAAGAAGCTGCTCCATAGCTGGGACACATTGGGCAATAACAGCAGCAATTTCCTGTTCAGATTCCTTATAGATCGTGCGCCGGAGACTCAGCTCATCTCTTTCCCGAGCCTTGCTTAAAAGAAGAACATTCCGTACGTATTCACTCAATAAGTCGGTATCACATCCTTTGCCCCTACCACAACTATTGTGTGTATTTTGTACATGCTCTTTGAAAGAACTGCTTGTGGAAAGATTGATTCTTCCTGGAGTTGAGCCACATCTCTGCATATTCAACCCGTCTTCCACAGACAGCCTGCTATCAGATTGTGTCACAGCACCCATACTGTTATTTCCTAGATCCTCAGGAGACAGCAAGAGAGAGGATATTTCTTTACAGTAGGGCATGTCTGTGCCATTACGCTGAGGTTCTTGTGCGAGAATTGGCGCATTAAGATGCTCCTTCGGAGACATTGTCACAGTAGCCTCCCCTTTGGTGAGATTGTTAACCTCCAAATCACCCTGAAACAACCCCTGTTTTTCAGCTCGTGCAAGTGCAATCCTGGAAAACCGGCAGAAGGACCCAGTAGACTCGTCATCACTAATAGATTCTATCACACCGTCACCAATGGTATATGCTGCTTCCACCGTGTATGCAGGTTCAATTAGAGTAGTGTTGGAAGTATGGGTATTTGGTATGTACTCAATTACACTCTTCTCATTTGTCATGAACCTAGTGGAAGGTGGATCCATCGGCGTGATAGAGACTCCGGAAAGCATGCGGTCATCTGCATTTCTAGATATCGACTTGTGCGTGACTGACGGTAGAACCACAGAGTTGCCATGAGTAGAATGCGCATTAATAGTTGACTTTTTTTCACACGTGGACGCATCATGTATTTCTTCTAAATCCCACATGTAGTCGAAACCATCAAGCTTCTCTATGGCGTGCATACGCCTCAGTGTTTTGAGCTGCGTAGGTGTCAAGGATTTAATAAATGCATCGACCTCAGCATCAGTTACAGATGGTAGTGGGTTAGCGAGATAATCCTTAAGGATACTTGTAGCATCCTTAGGATGCATGGCTGAATACTTCAATTGGGTTTGGTACTGTTTTATTTTTGATTCGACCCATTCATGTCGTGAGTAATCTTGTGTTAGCCTATCGAGATGCTTAAAAACATCTAGAGATTCTTTCAAGACAACTCCTGCCGAGGAAAAGTAATCTGAAATTCGATTATATAGGAGCGTTGGATCTCTTAATGCGTCAACTTTGTCAGGCTCAAACACTGCAAGCGGGTGGAGTTCAGTAAGTGCTGCTGCAAGTGAAGACACCTTCGAATCCTTGAAAGACATACGAATGCATACACGTTGGCAAGTAAAGATGTTACAACGTGGAGGGAGTAACGGAAACTGAAGGAAATAAATAAATTACTCTATGTATTCTTGAAATAAAAAATTAGATCCATAAAGTGGGAAAATAATTGCTAAAACTGGATTAAAAACACGATGACTAATAAAATAAGCAAATGTAATAGTGAAACGAATAAGGCTGAATATAAAGGATATATAATAGACGGTGCAGGAATAAATTGTTACGAAGAATTACTACAAACACTATATCAGGGTGCTGCCTTTTGGTATATATTTTTATTTTGGAGTCGTCATGCATCTTCAAAGTAATGTTAGTAATTCGTGATAGAGTAATCGCTTCCGTTTCATTTGGACGTATTCATTTCGGTATAATTTTTAACCATATTGGGCTGTAGAAATTAAAACGCATTTTGAACAAATTATCATTCAGAAAATATGCGTACACAACATATACAGTAATTTGGTAATATAAGTCACTGTACAGCGTTATGAATCATGTATAGATATTACACGGCTGACCATAACATTATTTTTTTATTTTTTCTACTAAATTATGAAACTCATTTATGGGAAATGAAAAAAAATATGCAGTATACAAACGTACACGTATTACCGCGCGTAGATACTTTAAAGATAGCTCTAGATTTCCTGCTTAAAAGTGAGTTTTTTTAACTCCTAACTTTTGCACTGAATTCAATATTCTTCAACATTCAGAGATAATTAGTGTCGTTTTTGAGGGGGTGTGAACACTTGTGATTTAATTCAAAGAAAGGATACTCCTATATGAAAGAGGAAAGTAAGTATATCTATGGGCATGCACTGAGCCACTCGTTTCTCACGAAAGTGCTCGCAAAACGCTTAAAGCACAATATGTAAATGGAAATGCTAAGAGGACACCATCTATACGGTCCAGAATGCCACCATGACCAGGTATAATAATGCCCGTGTCTTTGACCCTCGCAACACGCTTAAGGAGTGATTGCAATAAGTCCCCTAACACTCCAGCAATACCAACGAAAATTCCAAGAACAAACCATACTGAAATAGACTGAAACTTCGGTGATATTATATTTACGTCAGGGTAATCAAGGACAAAGCGGTAACAAAAATACAAACTTGCAGAAAATGAGATCGCGTTCATAATGACACCGAATACTGCTCCCTCAATAGACTTGTTGGGACTGATTGTCGGGCATAAAGAATGTGGGGAACTCAATATATAGCGTACAAAAAATGAGGAATCAGACCTAAGCTTTTTCTTGCCGTTGCCTCCAGATTGCAGTTCAGGTCTGCATTTAGTAGAAGCTTTCTTATCAAAGTAACAGTCACTTGAATCTACATTCAAAGTTGAATCATAAATGTGGCTGTACTTCGTCCTAAGCTTTCGGATGCCATTTCCAACGAGCAGTGCGGTGATATCATTAAAAAAGTTACTTAACAAAACACTAGTGAACCATGGCAATCCCAACCGCGGCACATCATAAAGAAACAAAAAGAAGACCAAGCCTGATAGCCACATAACACCAAAAAAGTCTAGACAAATGTCAAGAAACTGCTCTGCGGGTTGCCTTTCAGAAATTACATGTAGTTCCAAAAGCAAAAAATAGCGCTGTTGTGCATCTTTAGAAGTCTTTTCCATGGATAAATTAGGATCACTACCCTTAGGCTCAATAATTCCAGAGCAGAACCAAGAAGTTAACAGCTCCACTGCACATTCCACATTGTCTCTTAGTCGGCTCCGAGCCATAAGCGTGACACAGACGAAAATTAAGATGTAAAGTGCGAACACAGTGACGTAAACCGCTTCGCAGTGTGACGCAGCTAAAGCCAAGAGGGACCACCCGAGGTACTTAAAAATACTATACGCACTTAACGGTATCACAGGGACCGCGTACTCTTTAGGGGTGAGCGGTATACCATCCGGGAACGACAGAGGTGGAGAAAGATACCTTGAACTAGATCGGGAATTGTAACTACCGCTATACATGGTCTTGTGTTCAACCGAGTGATCCGCCTTACTAAATTTCCCCTGAGGTACACCCTCAAGTTTCATGGGGCTTGTTCTATTTAGAAACTCATTAGGTGCGAGAAGGGCCACTTTAAGGTGCCGTTTTAAGCCACTCCACTCTAAACCACCAATAAATAAGCAAGCAAGAACTAGAAGCGTTGCCGTATGTTTAGACCATGTTAAAAAAAAAATGCACAAGGGCCCCATTGTGAGTATAGTTATAGTTCTGGTTTGCATATTAGTAAATCTGAGGCAGCTACGATGAACGATAGAAAATACTGCTAAAAATGGATTTTTCATGTTTCTGGATTGATGTGTAAATATAGGTATTTATATCTTTCAAAAAGTCAAAAACAGATGAAAAAAAATTAAATAATTTTAATCATATTTGAAAGAAGAAGAATCAAAACCTTGACTATGCTTCTTGTAGAAAGAAAAAGTGAACAGTCTCATATAAATTGTTAAAGAAGCAGAAACTTTACAGCAGAAGCGGTAAACAAACGGGAACTATCTCAAGGGGTGTAGGGATTCGGGAGAATAAAAAGTATAAATATCGACATTCTCAATCTTAGTAAATTCCTCAAAGCTCAGAAAGTGCAAAATAAAAAAGTGAATAAAGAAATCATACAAAAGTAAATTAACCCCAATAAGTAATATATATATATTGTATTTTAAGCATCTTTTTACCTACAGTCTTTTCTTGCTCAATAAAACTTAGAGTTCGGTTGAGCAAATATATATATATATCCCTTTCCCATTCAATTTCCCCTAACATCCCACTAAATGATAATCTGATGTTAGAAATCATAAAAGCATTAGATGTTACACCCCTAGTTTGAAAAGTAGTTGTAAGAGTCATAATCCTCTGAGACGAAGAACTCAGCAAAACCCATATATCATTATACTAGAATAAAGAAATGTAAAAATAACATTTCTTTATTCTTAAAAGGATACTTGACTTTCCTACAATAAGTTGAAAAAGAAAAGCCTGAACGAAATATATTTGAGGCTGTTACATTTAATTAACTTTATAACGAGATAGAAAATGAAAAAAGTGGTGAACCTAGTATTAACAATTGCTTATCAACATAAAATTAGTGCTGAATTAAATCTTTACACATGTTACTGTTTCAACTTATTGTGGCAAATAAGGTATATCAAGCGAACGAATTGTCAAAGGGTTTGAAATATCACCTTATTCTTGTTTTTTAAAACCTTCTCTTGATTTATTATTATCTACTTAATTTGATCTTGCAACCTTATCATTTTGCCTCACATTCGTTCTATATCATGGCCTTTAAAATGTATTTCAATTACTAGTGGTATCACTAGTTCATTATTCCACCACTCCCCCTCCCTTCTTCGACATCCGTGTAGATTTCACTTTACTGAAAAAAAAGTTTATAGTGGCCATATTGTGTTTGAAAACCTTGGCAGTAATGGGAAAAGAAAATAATATAATACCGCAATTAAAATAACCCAAATCATCACTGCCCCCACCAAAGTTCCACCTTGCATCATCCGCCACGCCCTGCGTTCGTTGCGATACAACTTTCCAAATAAGCTTATGCTTGTCACAAGCCTTACAGTCCCCCAAGAGATGCTGCTATCGCACTCAACCACAAGTGGGGTGACATCTGTGGAGGATAACGCACCATGAGATGAAGAAAGCGACTTATTTTCACCACTTGACATCAATGGATCTCCCACTCCGCACACTTCTAAAACAAAACCAACAAAAGAAAAAGAGCTGCGATTTTTGAGCAGTAAATCTGGGGAGTTGTTGCTGCCATCAGGTCCGTCACGAAAAATGCTAATAGTAGCCTGCAAATTGCGATTGTAAAAACGTGCCGTAGTGGCATCGATCAGCTGATAACAGCTATCATCTTTCGAACTGTGACCGTCTTTCAGTGTCGAGTTAGGCTCCACATCAAAGTCCGATGTCTCCTTTCCATTTGTCCCTTCCGTCTGAAGAAGCTCTTGCAGACGCTGAAATAGCACCATGGCGACTCGGGATCCGGCTAAAGAGGCAGCCCTGATGCGAGACTTATGTCCATGGCGTCTTTCCATCAAAAGTGGTTTTAAGTCCCATATCCGTACGCACGCGATATGAGCGTGCCCCGCTGCGACACCACGCGAGCTTCTGTTATGCCAACGTGCCCCTGGGGAGGCACTGGCTCGTGGACCGCCGATTGGACGAAAAGATGAGACAGGTGAAGACCCCCCTACACTCATAGCGGCAGAACGGGATGGCAAAGAATGGGATGATGGCGAAACGTTTAAGTCAACCAACTCCACGCCCCGCCCATGCGGGAAGTCCTCCGGTGCACTCGAAATCCCCTCTATAACACGATCTAAAACATCAATTAGACACTCCTCGCGAACGTAGTAAGAGGACTCAAAGGTGTAAAGCTTCGTCCCTTCAGCGTTGCTAATAGCAACGTGTCCGACCAACGGGAAAAGACAAGATAAAATGGGTACTGGGAAGAAAAAAACACAGCAGCCGAATTTTTGCATGCGGCCTTCAGCCCCTGGTAAAGAGTCGCATCTAGGCATTGACGAAACCGTTGGTATCTTTATGGATGGCGTCGAGTTGAGCCACGGCGTGGAGGAACACGGCGCATGCGACCCGGTGAAAGGAGAATCTGCTGCTATAGATGCTTTCGGGGTGTTATCTTGAAGAAAACTATCATCTCTTGGGAGAGAGGTATCAATAGTGCCTATGTTACGGGGATCGCTGGGGAACGACGAAATTGGAGATTCCTGTACATCGCAACTACCAGCTTGTACGGACCTGTCCTCCTTGGAAGATTTTAGTAATGGAGTAATAGGTTGATCAGAGACTAAAGGCTTCTCGAGCATGAATCGAGACGAACGGATTTTACTATCAGGCGAAAATGAACTGCATTCATCAGCAGTTCCATCTGTATGCATCATGGAAAATCGCCAACTAACTTCCCCAGATTTGTCTTTCTGGACATTTAAAGAAGACTCTGAAAAGGAACCTTCGGATCTTTCGCTCCTGTCAAAGAAACTTTGTGGTGAAATGTGCTGTAAAGCATTCGATTTAGATTCAGTAAAAAAATCTCTAGTTATTTTATCAATCGGGTTGCTCCTGGGACGAGGAGGCGCTCGTCTCCGTCTATTATTGCAAAAAAATGGCTGTGCTCTAGCAGACGAGGTTGAATCCCTTATTCGATGTGGTTCAAAAGACGTTTCCTCATGGTCTGATGAGCCTAACATATTCTCTTTTCGTCGTCTTTCGAATGAAAGAGAATGATCAAACAGCGTAGTAAATAAGTTAAGTGCCCTGTGCCACACAATCAACAGACTACAAATATATATATATATATATAAATAGATACGTAAATATTAAAAACAAAGTGAGCTAATATTGTAGAATCAGTTCGCTTAAATTAATAGTGTAAGAAAAAAAGGCAAACGAGGTTTACATAAAATGAATAGAAGGATAAAAAACATTGCTGGAACTTCTCCCTTCTTTTTTCACCTGTATAACTGTGTTCATATGAATTAAGAATGCGCTGAAATGCATCATCCACAAACTCTATACCAAATTCGGGAAAATAAATGATACGCAGAGGTCACATTTTTGTCTTCTTTCGTTAAAATCATATTATACCAATACTACAGTTTATCACAGTACTGACAAAAAGCCACTGTGTTGTCATTTTCATCGATAAAAATATTAGAGTTTGAGGAAATATCCTCCCCTGAGGCACGGTATGTAATAGTCATGCAGCGAGGACAAAGCCACGCGAGATGGGAAGAAATTGTCGACGATTCCCTATTCAACCCACTTTGCGGACACTGTGGCATCGTGGGCGGTGCTACAACGTACGCCTTTGCCATCTGGTCCCTCTTCCCTCGCAGTGAATGCGTTAAATCAGACCCTTCCCTTACATTGTGCATCGACCTCTCATCAAAGACAATAGAAAACGACTTGTCTAGCATTCCCCCAATGAGCGAAGGACAGAAACGCTCAGCACAGAATCCCCCTGTAACAATGGCGAAGGCCTGAACCCGACTGCATCCTGCGACGTCCGCCTGCTCCTCAGAAGCCGCCTTCCCGAATGCAAATGCAACGGTGTTAAGCCGCGTTGCTGTTACTGCCGCCACTGCCATTGCACACTCTGTGCTGTAGGTTACCTCGTAAGGCTGGGTGCTATTGCTGAACACTAAAAGTATGGGACGCGTGCCAGAAGATGTGGTGGTGTTACTGAAATTGGTGTCATTTTGCGTTGATGGTTGATAACTTTCAAGTTTGTGCTTATTGAAGAACGCAAGCGATGCCAAAAGACCCCCTGCAAGGCTGCCCCACACATCCGTGGTATTAAAATTCTCTTTCATACGCGATGGCAACGCACGAGTCCCAAGCAATATGCACTCGCTCAAATATGATGCTGAACGACCACGGAAAACAGTGAATAGATCCTCATTTAATTCATCCGATGATAAATGTTGTTGTTGCTGTCGGCAAGCTTCATACGAATGGAAAGTTGGTGAAAAGGCCATAAAAGGCATTGATGGAGCCTTGACGGTATGGTTGCAGTCTGATACAGTCGACCTATACAAACAGTGGCAACCTACCAGAGGGTCTGAACGAAAAATAGCGATTTGCGGGACAAAATCTGGTGATAAAGCCGAAACACTATAAAATATAGAGGTGATGCATGAGACCACACTGGAAACAAGATCCTCGTAGTTACCATCACTCGAATGCAGAACGCAAGCTAACAAAGTCATTAGAATATGTATATTTGCCTACTCTCAGTTTACTAAATAAACACTATCTGCCTTGTCTTATAACAGCATTGGCTAAAGGAAAAAATGCAGAAAGTGGGAAAATAAGGGGTTCTAAAAATATATTACCAGTATATTCAGCCTTAACACATGAAATATGTGGCCAAAAACAGGTAGCGATTTCACCTATTCTCGTTTAAGATATAAACTAAAATACACTCATTGATTCAAGAATTATACTCAGAAATAGCTCTAGATGAAGAATAAAACATATAGCAGAATCACATTGTCGATTTTCATATTTATCAACTGTCCTATTCAAGATCACGCTAAAATTTGGTCCAGAAAGGATAAGAAAGCTAACCAAGTATTGTTGGAGCTATGCGTGGTATAAACGCTACATCAGAACATTAGAAAAAAAAAAAAGACTGAAACTGGGGCTAAAATAAACGATACTTCGGCTACCGAAATTTAGAAGATAAACTAGGAGTTATATCGCAACAAAAATAAACTTTACAGAAGATCATTTACATGTAAGTCGAGCACCTTCTTCCCGATTAGCACCATATCCTTTTGCATGCTATTAAGTGGGCAGATGTTGTCATACTCCCTGATGGCATCCTCATAAGCATCAACGTTTTCTGATTGGATGGCCTTAATGAGATCAGTTATAACCATATGCTGGCGAGTTAGAGAATTGAATTGTGTCTCTAGTTCTTGATACTTTTCGAATTGTTCCTTCAGAACTTCTACGTCATCCATCAGGGATATTTCCTTCATAGTTGCTATTTGTGCAAGAAGGGCATTGAAAAATAGATACCGTGCGTTGCAACGAGAAGCGCGATCATCTAGTGCCGCAAGTGCTTGTTCCTCATAAATATCTCGTGCACTCTTGTAGTCACCGGACTGTGCCTTTGAATCCGCGATCTTTAACAAGACTTCTGAACTCATGACCTTTGATCCTTGGCTTCGATAGTACTTCGCTGCCTTGTCTAGCCACATCATGGCTTCGTCACCTTCTGTGATCTCACCAATGGCAGCGCATACCTTAGCGGCATTTATGGAACTTTGATTTTTGTTGTGTATCTCAAACACCCTTTTGTATAGCGTCACGGCTGATTTTGTGTCGTTGGCTTTGAGGTACATCTTCGCTGATTCCTCTAGCTCAAGCGCTATTCCACGCTCATCACCATTCATTTCAGAGGTATCAGCAGCGCGTTTAAATGCCACCGCGGCCTTCGAGAAAACACCCGCAGCTTTGTATTGTGTGGTTGCCTGAATAAATTTATCATGGGCACTATCCGTTTTATCACTTTTGAATATGAAAAAGCGCTTCTTAAGAGCCTTCTCCCCAGATGCCATTAAAGCATCACCTTTTTGCTCCATTGTGGGAAACTTAGCTAGACCTAGTAATGATATATATATATATCTTTACAGTACACCTTTGTGTATGATATTCTGCAAAAAAGCACATGAAGATAATGAAGTAAATTGATTAAGTGGTTAAACAGAAGTTAACAACAATATGAAAATCTACTGTATATAGGTCATAAGCACTCACATTCTCTTATAAATAGGAAGTACTTCACGTCATTTAAAGAAATGAAGTCGTTTATACATAAGAATACATAAAGACAAATGAAAACTCATTCTTTTCTGATATTTTTTGTTCATGTATATGTCTTTAAGGGGAATAGTAGTGACTAAGAGCAAAATAACAAGAAAAAAACGCACTAAACTAATAAAAGAGGTACATTACTTGTAATATGAGAGAAAAGTACACCGGAAGTCAAGGTCTACATCTGATGTCAAAAGGTGAACTGCATCCCTTGGTGGAAAAAAAATAAAGAGAAATACATCCATTGAGTTGCCCCTGCTTACTTATGAATGTACTGACTAGCGATATAATAAGTAGCGGGGAACAAGTCTGAATGCCATTTTGAATAGAAAATCATGATTTTTATTTTCAAGCAACTATTCGTAAAATACCTAAAATCATACTCATACACACACACGCAATGTGAATTAAATTGAAAATCCCATATTTGGAATTTTCTTAAAGAGTTCGAGCATGTATGGTACCACAGTGAGCAAATTTCCTTCCTTTTCTATTCTTTTCCGGTTTCAATAAGCCCAACCCTCTTTACGATACCCCTCTCTCCTTCGCATTCACCTATTTCTTTTTTCTGGACTAAGTCGGTTCAAGTTGCGACCTCCAGTCACCATTTCCTTTTTCTTGCGTTGCGCCCGCTCTTCGCGTTCGCGCTTACACACCAATTGCGCCTCCATGCGGTTTCGGATTTCCTCATGCGAAACCACCTGATCATTATCAAAACCACTTAAAAGGCTATCCTCAGCGATGAGGTTCGCGCTGGGTAGGTCTGCGGGGCGCACCAATTGCTGAGCCGTCAAAGTATTGTGAACTGCGGACGGTGCGATGTGGAGCACCATAATCGGGTCTGCCTCCTCGTTGTCAAACTCAATCGTCGACAAGGCGGGCAATAGGTCCAAGCAGGGACTTTCCGTCTTGGCCGAAAGTGCGTTGTCCTCGGAGTCGGTGTCGGCGGGTTTGGGACCGATGGTGGCCTCCATGTTTAAGGGTGGGTTGTAGCCACGCTTGCGGCGCTGCAGGGCGAACAAGATCCGCGTCACGCGTTCCTCAATCACTCCCAGGTAGTTCATAAGACTGGACTCATTACAGGACTGCTCCTTGACCAAGGTGATGTCCTTCATGGCGGCGCAGCCGATCTGCGCGTGGACGTTCTCCGTGGTGGCGATCACAATGGAAAGGTCATCCCGCATGTGGGCTATGGAATTCTGGACTTGCTCCAACTTGGACTCGGTCGCCGCGAGGTTCTCCTCCAACTGTTTCACCAGCTTGCGGTGCTCGGATTCGCTCTTGTGCTCCTCGTGGAGGAGGTTCTTCAGGTCTCGAATTTCATTGCTGAACTCCTCCTTTGAAGCGGTCAAATCGTTTATAAGCCTATACATGGAATAATTATTCTCGCCTAGTTGATGGTACTTTTCGTAAATAACATTAGGGTCATCTTCATGGAGTGCCTCACGGAGCTGCGTAATGATCTCTTTAATAGAGCCATGTTCATGCTCCACACGTAGCGCACTCGCCATCGGGTTCATATCATCACTGGGTTGATTGTCCTCGTCAGGACCACCCCCCCGCCGCGAACCCGCGCCCGCACCCACCTCAGACCGGTTGGCTGTTGCGTTGGACTCCAAAAGCTGCTTTTCAAACTCATACTCGCGTGCTTCTAGCTCCAGCTGAAGGTTGGTCTGCTCGTCGCGCATTGACTTAATCTCCAGCATTGCTAGATCCAACTCATGCAGTTGCTTAGTGTTCTCATCCTGTTGTAATATGATTGCTTCCCTTAGCTGGTCCACTTGACGCAAATATTCATCACGCTCGTCCATGTCCTTATTTGTTTGTTCAAGATATTCCGCCATGAGACTCTTCTTACTACGAAGGTCATCCTCCATTTTTTTATGGACGCGCTGAAATACACGTCGTTCCTCACGAATGATAGATATCTGGTTGCGCAGTTCCCTGTTGTACGAAAGCGCATCATTGAACTTACCAAGCGCTTGATCCAGACGATTTTCAAGAATTTCAACCTGGCGCTGAACCGATTCAGCCTGCTCCTTCTCAACATTTATACCACCCTTCTTTTTCCTACTCTGAAAGAGCTCAATACGAGTCATTTGGTAACGCTTCATGAGGTCATTCTTTCGCATCTTTTCAAACTGATAGCGACGCTCAAGAGCATCAACCTCCCCTTGAAGCACTGCCATCTTGTCAGCCTTTACATAATCGTAGTGGCTTCCTGAAACAGCCGTAATTTCATTCTTGAGATGTGTATTTTCTTCAATTATCAATCTAATCTGTTCCTGTTGTTTCATGCTTTGGATTTGGGCGCCAGCAATGCTACTCAGTAACTGCGAGGAGCGGGTGATATCCACCTCCTTCGCGTTGCCAACATAGCTTCCAAGATCCTGCATCGAGAATATCTCCCAAAACAGACTGTGGGAATTCAGATTTTTCATTTTTCGAAAAATAAAAATAAGATTAAAAAAGAGGCAAAAAGAAAAGTGAATATTAAATACAAACGATAAAATGACATCAATGATACGGAAAAAAATCAGATATACTTATATCCTTAGCTGAACATTGCGAATGAAAGACGGGCTTCAAACGTGTATTACACTAATCCTATAGTCATGTCAAGAATTATTTAGTGGTCTTTTTACTCCACACATCGGCACTCCTTAAACGACTAATAGAACTTGAAAAAGGACACTTGCTACGGAAGCCTGTAATTATTTACTCAAGAACTATTTTTCTCCCTCTGACTCTGGAACGTTCCTTACACACATTACCTAGTGATACCATAATTAGGATATTAAATAATGGTAGGGGCTCTTCTATCAACATCACAGAATGTCATTTTAGCATAGACGCTTTCAAAGCTTATGAATAGATACACACAATCTTCAAACGTGCATCTATGGTTTAATTCGAACAAATATATAAAGGAATAGATAACAATTTTGATACATCACACATTATTACTATTATCCTCCCTTTACAAAACAAATGAGCAAGCAAGTGAAGGGGAAGAGGAAAACAAACCGCAGCTAGTTTTGATTATTGTAGAAGCAACAACGACAAAGAAAAATATCCACCGAATTGTGAATCTTAATATTAATAATCCTTACGACTTAGCATGGTTTGTGCGCTCATAAAACAACATATAGGCTCCATTAGCTGGTGGCTTCTCTATGTCCATAACGTAAGAGCTGGAATCATCAAAATAAACCCACTTGTTTATGCTTTCATTAAAAGCGTATGCCGTGTAGTGCCCAAAGTTGAGGGAGCCACTGTGATAAACTACGCCGCGTAAGCGATAGGTCGTATCCTGCTTAAGCGGTGCAGACTCCACATCAAGGTATGGTAAGAAATCAAATTGTAGGGGAAAATCAACGGGCGTATTGTTTTTATCCGCATGATAGGTGTTAACCATCTTAAATGCCTTGAAAGATATAATCAGGCATGGAGGAACACGGAAGACATTTCTTTGCACTCGCGCCTCACGAAAATCCTTACAGTGCGGGCAATACCAAGAGTTGTCATCAGTCAAGGTGTCCGGCATCATGGACTGCTCAAGACAATCGTAGAGCGTACACATCGAAGCGGAGTTAGAGTCCTTCTCATGATTGGATAATCTGAGATAGGAACTGTTGGAATGTTCTGAATAAGATCTGATGGTTAGTTGTGGTAGTTTAACACGGAAGCAATTGCTCTTGAAACACAAAAATATCGAAACATTGATTATCTTGTTCATGAAAACGGGTCCACATTGAGGAATCGTTTGTGATTTATGGTTTATCCTTCTCTTTACTTTTATTGTATGAAATATGCGAAGCTCTTCTAACCAATCATCCCCGTCAGTTTGGGAATATTCGTTTATATCGATGGCTAAACTCTTTCCTGTCGAATAATGCATAACCTTTAACGAGGTGCTGTCATGCTCTCCGGCCGGTCCTTCCAATGGAGAAAATGCTGAGGCATCATCAGAATCATCGGACATGGCGGCTGAGGAAAAAAATGGCCCTTGGGGTTCTCTAAAATACGGTACCAAAAAACTTTGAGCAATTTTCCCGCTCAGACTGAGAATATGATTTGAAAAGGGTGCCGAGATGGGCCTGGATGAGGTTCCCCGATCCTCATGCATCCCATCGACCGCTCCTTTTGTATTTTCTTTTTTCCCTGCTGAATCTGCCTTGCCAGAAAAGACAGAATGTTCAGAATTCGAAATTGAAAAGGGGAGTTCCTCGACATAAATCGGCGTGTCGTGAACCGTTTGCAAATCATCATCATCGCAACGTAGGAAATACCATATTCGATATCCACCAGAGTGTGAAAGAGGCTCAGGATGGGCGTCAGCTTTGTGGTTGGTATTGGTAACCCCCACGCGACTATTCCACGTCGTGTCCTCAGGCATTAAACATCGAGCCCACGCATAAATCCTGCCATTACTCTTCGTCGGCATCCCCAACACTTCAATATGAAAATCGAATTCGTGAGCCCCCCCCATCGGCTGAATTTCGGTTCGAGGCTTGCAGGCTAATTTCCTCTGAAGCTCCGAGCAGTCCTGAAGTGCATGGCGAATCGCCTTTTTGAGCGCGATCTCTGCGATTTCACCACCTTCACCATCCACCACTTGCACTTCAAGGGATACGCAAAAGACTGGATCCTCCAAACCACGTGCGGTGGATTGCGCGGGAGGCGCACTTATAAAGTACTCCCCTGATGCCCCACAAGTAAATTTCTGAACCACCACCAATACATTGTGCGTTTTGGTTTCACGAATGTTAAGCGACAAGGTGACATTGTTGTCAAACACCACGCTCGTCTCCTCACAAGTTAAGCAGGAAAATACGGTCTTGGATTGATGAAAAAAGTCTTGGGAGATGAAGCTCGTGTTGTTCGCCAAAAAGCTATTCCAAAAAATCTCAGAAAGCCGAACAAGAGGGACGTGCTTGTCGTCATCGCGGCGCTCACGGTAGCATCGTTCGGAGACCTGGTTAATCTCCTCCTGCATGCGATCCAGTAGGACCTCGACAAATTCACAGGCGTCTTGTTGTTGATATCCGGTGAATCGCTTGACTTTTTGGCCAAAAACCCGATTTACGGCCTCCGTCTTCACGCATTCCTTCTGGCCGCTCCACATCTCCGTTAGAAGCCCCACCACCTGGTGCACCAGTGGGGCATTGATGTAGTGCGAAGCCGGGAAATAAAGCATTTGATCGCGAAAACGTGGAATATTCGACAGACACTGTAGGGCGCTATTCATATAACACGTATTCCCAACATTGGTAAGCCCACACAAACCACATTGGTGGAGCGTTTGAGGCGTCACCACCGGCAAAATCGGTTCCCCCGGGCCAGCCTCGGCCGATCGTAATTGCAATTCAATCCCTATCTCGAACTTCTGCCGCGGCGCAAACCGCACCCCGCCGCCTAGTTTCGCCCCCAGGGTTTTAATCAAGGATGACATCGGAAGGTCCTGGGCCTCGATACTGAGATCGAGCGGGGTGGATAAAAATTCATAATTCAGACTCTTGGCCTTCACAATCAGTGCCGTGGGCCCATTCACCGCAGCCGCCCACAGCCTCAACAAATCAGCTGGCATGGAGTCCTCTTCGTTCTTTAAAATGGCAAAGGCCAAACGAATAACCTCGGATAGGCCGGTATGACGTAAGGCATTTTCCACGAAAACGTGCACATTTTTCTCCTCTAAAATGCCCTCCGAAGTCTGAAACCAACAAAAAGAAACATCAATCATCAAGCCTTTCGGCTTCAGTTGGCCAATAAACTCATTTCTTAAAGTGAAATTACCATAGCTCGCGTACTTAATACCACATCCAAATAATTGCGATAAAAGGCAGAAAAGGCGCTCTGGAATGACATTAACCGAGGTTTTCATCTCATGGAGGAGCCAGTGTTTGGACGGATTGTGAGAATCGACTTTCATACAAGAAAATGCGTCAATCGGGCCTGGAATCGAAGATAAATCCCGTTCCTCATCACTATGCAGAAGGTGCACTAGCCAATTTAGAAGTCCAGTCAGCCATGATTTGGGAACTATCATGCCTCGAGACAAACCATCTTTGTTTTTCAAAAGACTCCTTTGCATACACAAGGTGTATATTTGGTAGGCGAATTCCTCGATATCAAACTGATCAATAAGTTTTCTATCCCATATGAAATTGGTAAAAGCACACGCGTTCTGGGATAAAGAGTGATAAAGAGGAAAGAAAGAAGCGATCCATGCCCCTGCATCCGCTAACAAAACGATCTCCAGGTCTTGGAGCGAACCGATCGGTGTCTCGGATAACGCGTTGGGGTACCTTGAACTTATGGAATCTGGCAATTGATGTGATACCACCCAATTGTTTAGGATCCTCTTACTGATTGATCTAATCGGTGGTAAACTTTCATGGAAATTCGAAGAATAGCCAAGCCGCAGCCAGTCCTTGGTGACATGAAAAGTAAGATGATTCAACCCAGCCATAAAATTTTCATGAGCTTGATAAATGGTGATAGGAAGAGGCCTTAAAGTACTCAACTCCTTCTTCAACTTGGATTCGCGCCCCAACACATCGCGCACAATCGCCAATGCAATTCCAAACCATTCAAACGAAAACCCTTCAGCGCCATCGGGTGGTTCGGCGACGGAATGTTCATGCCTAGCCCCTGGACACTTGCGGAAAGACTTCGTCGTCCCATCGAAGTAGAGAAAATACTCACGAAGACTCAACAAAAGATCGTTTAAATAGGCCTCAACCGGATTGGTCCCCCCGACAACGGGAATTACCTCCTCATTAAGGGTCTTCATGGGATTGTTGTGATAGGAATAATCGTAAATATCGTCGTCCATGGTTGACAACTCTCCTTCAGGATCAACAATAGAGCCTAGAAGATTGAAATTACAGATACTTTCCTCCAATCCTGGTTCCCTAGGAAACGTTGACAGGACATTGTTCAGAGAATCATCTTCGACGTTATTCATACTTCTGCAGGCAAGCTTCGTTCAGACTATTTAAATCCTGAACTTTTAGGCTATATCTTTTCCTATTAAGTGTCACTAAGAAAGACTAACAAAAACAGTTTACGTTTTACGTGTCCGGCGACAAAAATTTACGATGAAACGAAGTGTTAGGTGGTGTTGCTTATTCCGTGAATTTGAGAATGCAGGAGAAAAGAAGATTACGTTAAAGAATATTAAACTCACACTTAATTTGGATATATCATGATAGTTTCATTCCACCTAAAGATATTTCTAATCACCACGCAAGCAATGTGAAAAGATGAAAAGCTGTTAATCCCACCATTGCTTCCAAAAGCAGGCTTGTATTTGTTTAAGCTATCAATCCTTTGCATATTTAAGCTCCTTTGTGCTTTCAGCCTTTTCATGAGTTGATGTTGGTAAGCGGTATTCAGTCTCCTCACTAAACTCAAATACCCTTCTCGAAAAAAACAAGACCGCCAGCAGACAAATCATGAGCATCATTAAGACTGGTAAGGTTTCCGAAGAAGCCTGGGTGCTCCCTATAAACCCATAAATATGTCCTTTGGATACAATAATCAAATCATTAATCGTATCCCCGTTAAAATCGAGAACTAATACAGGAGCAATTGGCGGCTCCTCTAAGGCAATTCTACACGTAATGACGCCCGTTTTACTATTAATCGCCGTCAAGGTATCCTTACCGACGGCAAGAACATGCGAATCGGCCCGACGATATGGTTGGCCACCCCCACCTCCCTCCTTTATCTTCTCATTTGTATGCTTTTCATACAAAGTGTAAGCCGCCAAATGAGGAAACAATCGGGGAGGTAGAGCATCGTCCGAGTTGGATAAAGGCCGCTTGCCGGAATATTCATGGGGGGGACCCGAAAAGGAAGAAGGCGTCTGAACCCGCCAAAGCACCCGCCGGCGTGATGGATCGACGCACGTGATGAGGCCGCTGTTAATCATAAAAACCGCGTAGCGCTCGACCTGAAGGAGGCCGAGAAACCTCGACCGATGCACCTGAACCACCAAAGGCATCACGCTAAATGTGCTCTTGGAGACGATATTTCGACTTCCCAACAGTTCGAGCGTGTTGAGAACGCGCGGCACCCCTTCCCCCTGAGTATCCCCGTCCACAAAACGATGAATCAGGTCCAAATTCCCGAAAAACCCTTGCGTATCGCAAATCGTGGTGTTAAACATCTCATCCTCGGCAGACGGGAGGTTGGTGTAAACAATCCCTAAGCAGTCATCGAGGATATCCACACCGTGGTGGGCGTATGTCGAAACGCGTGGCCCGATTTGGGTGGTGATCGATTCAATATGAAAGTCATCATCGATATCATGATAGTAAACATTATACGCCTTGAGGGGGGAAACCGTTGTGATGACATTACCGGTATACATATGAAGCACTACCATCCCATTTTTACCGTGGTAGACCAACGCATTCTCGGGTTTTACACGAGAGCGAGGCTGAGCTTCCCCCTTGGCGGTCACCCTATGAGGTAAATCCCTAGCTTGCAAATGTTTTTCCTTCCATTGTGCGATCTTCGCCCCCAGTATGCCATAATCCTCCTCATTTAGACGAATAATGTGATTCTGATAAGTAAAGGTCTGTCGTTTAACGCGCTTAGACGCCCTCGTGGGTTGGGTATGTTTGGCGGAATAAATAGTGTGGGGGGTTAACTCAACGTCCCATGGATGGGCATAGTGGTGGGGAAGGGCGACAATAACGGCTTCGCGAAAGGTCGTCCATGGCTTTTCATAGGAAAAGCCTTGTCGTTGTGAAGAATGGTAAGCGCGATGCTCAATGGAAGAGGTGTCCTTCTTGTTGGGAAGATCGATATTTAAAATATCCCCCTTTTCAGCGCTCGTTAAAGGCAACGTGTCGTTAGCCTCATGAAGCACATCATCCGTTTCGGCCCCCTCATCAGAAAAAAAACCCCATCGAACCTCCCCATTCCTCCCATTAAACGCGGAAAAGCGGGTAAAAGCGGCTTTGTTGGGATCAATTACTTTAATTGCAATAGTCACCATACCAACGTCCCCGTCGTAAACCCGCTCCGGGACTACAGAAATCGCGACGTGGTAGCCAAAATCCCAACGATCGGCGGGCAATACTGTGGTTTTCCATAAAATTCTATAATCCTTGTCGTTTAATTCAATAGCAGTTAATTCATAATTCCTCGTTAACACACAAACAATGGGAAGTGGGGCATTTTCGTTTAAAAACCCGCTAGCGAAGGCGATAATTGAAGAGTCAAAAGGAATTGTCAGGATCGGTCGGAGAGGTAAAATGAAGTGCCGCTCGGCAAACCGAGTGTGTGTGGTTTCAAACAAGCCCAGATGCATTTCAGAGCTCGAGGTCAACAAAAAGCGCTTGCCTCTTTCTCTAAATTCAATAAGAAGGGGCTTCAGTATGCTATTAGAGCTCATTGTATCTTCCGTTAGTGGTATTTTGAAGCCACATCGAAAGTTCAGCGCACCCTCTTGGGACCATACAATTATACAGCAAATAATGGCAACAGCGACAATCACAAGGTCACGAAAATGCATTTGACGACTATGATTCTCAAATTTGATGAGTTGGAACTTATTTCGATCTACAAAAATAATAATAGTAATTTAGGCCTACGTAATGTCAATATGGTTAGTTTCCTTTTTTTTTTGATGGCATAATCATATATAATGTTAGGAGTTGATAAAAGACTCCAACTTCGATACGAGGAAAAATATATTAGCATTTAGACAAATGGAACGCAAACAAAAACATTACGCACTATAAATAAGTGTCTGATACATACAGAGAGTGTTATGTCTCTAGATAAATTTTAAAAGCATCATAAGTATTTACCATAGTAGAGGCTGAAAAATTAAGTTATGAATAATATTAAAGTAAAATTATACCATTGTACTTATAAAGGAATTTTTAGCATCCTCAGTGTTTAATGATTCTTTTTAAAAAAGGTAGATTTAGTACTTTAGCCTTAAGTAAAGGGGAAATAAAAACACAAAATAAGTTCTATTTGTATCAGAATGTGTAGGCAAAATTTTAACGAGACCTCATCCCCCCCAAAAAAAAAATAGGTTCATTAATTCGTGAATAAAACTAAAAATAAAGAAAACAATCCTAATTTCGAGTAAATTAATTAAGAAATTAAGATAATGTAGATATATAAGTCAGATAAGTAAATTTACTCAAAAAATCGCTTCGAAAATAACGGGACCCTCTAACACCAAGAAGTTCTGTACGTAACCAGAATCTTAAAAGCATTGGGAGCTTTTATATTAATTTTTATAGCGCACCTCACTTCGCCTCCTGGGGTTATCAGGATGTAAACCGCATCCACCATGCCCTTCAAGTAGGATAAAGACACTTAAGCATGACACACATACACCTAAAATATATTTTAAGGGTAAATAAAATAAAGTAGTAAAGACCGATAAATTATTTTTACACATCTGTGAAAAAAATATGATACTATTATGAAATTTAGAAAAAGAAAAAATGGAGGTGCATTAGTTGACCGGTGATAAGTGCACAGAGAGGTGTCGACGTGATCCCACTTGCATAGCATATCTACAAAAGGAGATGGTAGAACTTCAACTCACGGGTTCACCTTTCTTTTTTTGCACACATCTTACCCCTTCCGAAAGCTGCAAAAGAGGAAGGTGTTTGGAAACCTAACCACAAGAAGAATAAATCCAGGACTTCAAGGAAGACCCTAAGGTTTTAACTGTAATGCTTTTCACCAGAATACATAACGGATTATACACAAGTCTTCATAAGTAGCAAAATGATTCCAGAAGAATACCCCACACCATACACGTACTGGTGGTTCCTAAAAGAGTCAATAAAATGCACGCCTTCTCGATGTTATTACGGTAGCAGCCGAGGATTTAAAAAAAATGGAAAGCAGAAACATAAAGATCGCAATTATTGAGCATGCCTCTGTTCCGTGAAAGAAATAAACAGGTTTAGGACTTAATTCATATAGAATCCTTCTTTTTAAGAAGTCTCTGCATTGTTAGCATTCCTCTTTAAAATATCACGAGGAAAGCTATGAGACCTATGTATAAGATTCTTTGATTGTAGAAGAGTGATTGGTTCACATTGTGCTGCTTAACCGTTGAACTTTTCATGACTATCGATGGAAAAAGGTCATCTTTATGGGGCCTGATTTGCCATACGATAAATAATATATCCTCCCTATGGCATCTATTGAAGCTTCTGCATATTTAATATATACATATATGAGATATATTAGAATCCATTACTATTTTTGAAAGATTTCTTCTCTACTGTTCAGACAATTTCAAATAATATTAGAGAACACAAAACTTCTCATTCTTGATATGCCATATTTTCCAACACAATTGCAGCTATGATGAAATGCTTAGAAACTCTAAAAGGTATTTGACATGCTGTCTACGTAATTAACATAGACATCACCATCACCACTACACAAAGGTTCGGTTGATGTAAAACTTCACAAAATTCAAAGACATTTCGTTTAGAATATTATGATACGTATACTTGTGTAGAGACTCCGAGTTGCAATACCCTTTTGCAGGCTAATATTTGCCCCCAAACAAGTTCATATTGGCCTCACAAGTTGTATTGCATTTCAATGACAAAATGTAATTGAACTAAAGTACTCAGAATAACAACTACATGTGTTCATAATCCTGTATCTTTGAAATGCGAATTGATTGAGATATGTATCAATAAATGTGCATTTCACCCATGATGAATTTTTCCCCCAGATTCCGACCATTTATGTTTTTTAAATCACACACAAAGCTGCTCCTATGTGTTCAAAGGTGCTTTACCAGATGACCTACATATTGATGTGCATATGTCTCAACATTAATGCAGAAAATCAATACCAATAGTTGTATTTTGGAATGAATCTAAACTAAGTGGAAGCATGTGGACGTCAGTGATCTGGAAGTATTCACCTCTTTAGAAATTTGCCGCGCTTCTTATAGTTGCCAGCATTGTCATTATCTTGATAAAATGACTTATTTGTTTGAATCGTGGTTTATCAAAAAGTAATTAGTCCGCTGTAACTGCTCAAAAAATAGGTCCTTAATGTGAGCTCTACAAAAATGAAGGTATAAATAAGAGCGATTTGTGAAAAGGAAAAAAACAATGCATTTTTTTGCTAGAAAATATCGCTAGCACTGAAGCAGATCATTGTATTCTGTTAAACACTCAGGTTGAACCGAGTGTTAATATTACTTAATCCAGCTTTCAGTATTATATGTGAAGAGTAGTTCATCTAGAAAAAGTTCTTTTTCTTCTTTTCGAAAAATATTTGACGATAATAGCAGTATTCTATTCCGAAGGTGAACATTGAACTATCAGAAAATATATGTAAACAACAGACAAGTTCGCTATTAGATACATAATTAAATCTGTTTATAAATCTATCCGAAACCAAGTTAATGCTACTATATAGGTATCGATTCTATCATAATGTACATTGCACAATGTTTTAAGAAAAAAGATATGATACGACGATCACGACTTTTTCGCTTTACAAAGAAATAAAAGAATGGACGAAGCTAAAAAACTTTATGATGCAATGACACACCCTGTGGTCGAATTAGCATAGTTGAGAGCCCAATAACACGAACAGGATCTGTTGTGTGTTGTGAATTGTAGAGTTTGGTTCCCGTTCCCTCTTTCCTATTCCTCAAAGGAAATTTATATAACTTGCCAGCCTTAGTCGGTTCAAAACCAGACATCAAGCACTCATTGGCTGAGATCCAAAGAGGTTTTTGACGCTTTAGAGAGGTCAGATAATTTTGGTTTTGTTTGCCTAGAACAGGACGCCATTTAGAATCCAGAATAAAATGAACGTGTTTGCTTGTTTTAGGAAAAAGTGATAAAATTTCATCGGGACGTGAAAAATCCTCAATATTATAGAAACCTTCCATATCTTCTTCTCCAGAACTGGTGTCGCCCGCCGCTGCACCTATTCTAACAAAATGTTTTTTATGCTTTGGGTGGATATGGACCCCAAGGCGCTGGCCCCCAGACTCAGTAAGCCATAGAGGACTAGATAAGGAATGTTTAAGTGCAAACGCACGCAGAATGGACTCGTCACGATGGCCCACCAGCCTCCCATTTAGTATGGCAATAGAACGGACCGAGGGCACAGTCAGATAGGGCTTTGTCATACAACATGCATTGTAATAACGCCGAAGGGTGGCATCTTCAGCAAAGAAGAATGAAAACGATTCATTCCCTCTGGAAAATTGAATTGCCAATCTCATTTTCGCGCTAGGTGTGACATTTGCCCCAGTAGACGGAATGTCTAACAGAGAAGCTCCAATAGGCTTATGTTTGGAATAAATTTTTTTCGCCATATTAGCATATTTTGGTTTTTGTATGTGCAAATTTGTTAAGTTGACAAAATGAAATGGGTACTCTTTATCATTAATTGCTGACATGTGATTTACTAAAACAGAAGAACGAGTCGCCTCCCATCCGTTTACATTGTAAATAAAAAAAATGTCAAATCCAAATGCATCGAGGTGGTTCTGGGTAAGCTCAGCAAGCAACTCATTCCTACACGATTCCGGCAGGATGGATAGAGGAACAATAAAGCCGGTCATATTGGAAGTTATTACCGCTTCTTTATGTGCGTTCGACTTTAGCTCAAGGTTAAGGTACTTGATCTGGCGATCAGCAATCCACATGGGGGACGTGTAACCATTCAAAATTCCTACTCCTAATAAAATGTCGTGCGCAGGTTGTCCTAAGCGCTTCCCAGTAACCGCATCGAGAGCCACTCCTTTTTGAGGCTCACCTTTATAAGGATCATCTAACTGTTCAGCATTATACACATATACAGAGCTAGCAGAACGAATATCAATAATGTTTTGGGGATTGTACTTAATACCCAACTCCTTTGCAGTTACCACGTCAATAAACAAGGCGCGATCCTCCTCGCTAGGATTGAGTAAATGAATGAGCCGCCCAGCAGTGACAGCCTTCCACTTCTTCCGCTCAGACAGAATGCCAACACCTGAACCCAAAAAGGGTGGATATTCATCCATAATTCTTTGCTGTATCGGCCTGGAAAGAGACGTCATGGGTACCACTGCCTCAACTTGTAGATGAATTTGTGCAGGTTTCTCAGTTGGAAGTACATTGGCATTACTGGTACGATTAGCTTGCGGACGGGTTATCCAATACTTGCTAGAATAATTATTCCTTATTGCATGTTCTCGGAGTATTTTTTGACAGTGCGACGGAAAAGGAGCATTTGTCACTGACGAAAGCATCATAACACCATTTTCTATGGGGGAAGGTTTCGTGGACAAAGAAGGCCTTTGTTTCAAATTAAAAAAGGTTCTAGAGATAAAACCTTTCATTTACTTTCTGAGCGCTGGCATATAAATAATCAGTCTTCTGGGAGACTTTAGAAGAAGTGAAAAAAGAGCTCTTTATATAATAACAATTGTTATAATGGTAATAAGGTAAAATCAATGCTAAATATTCACGTCTGCGCACGTAAATAAAAAAGTATGGTGTCGTAGCAAGAATTACAATTGTTCGTTGTTCACGAGCATTTAATTTCCCTTTTATTTTTATATTGAGCGACAATTTATAATTGTATAATAACACAGAAAAAATCATAAAGAAAATATTTCACGATTTTTTTCCTGAGTAATAAAAATTATTACATAAGATTATATAAGTTTATTTAAAGTATCCTACTCGTAGATCTGACAGGAGGAATGAGATGTCCAGCTGATAATTTCTTCTGGTTTGAACCAGAAAGCAATCTCCCGATTTGCAGTTTTGACAGAATCAGAGCCATGGCACACATTGCGACCAATATCAATGGCAAGGTCTCCGCGAATGGTACCAAGAAGCGCAACAGAAGGGTCAGTGGCACCAAGAATCGCACGACCCATATTCACCACATTTTTCCCTTCCCATACCATCGCGACAATCGGGCCAGAAGAAAAGTATTCCACAAGAGAATTGTAAAAAGGTTTAGAAGCAAGGTCAATGTAGTGGCCCCTAGCTTCTTCAGCTGTGGCTTGATGCAACTTGAGACCGACCAATTTAAACCCTTTGCGCTCAAAGCGAGAGATGATTTCAGAAACCAAACCACGTTGAAGACCATCAGGTTTGATGGCAATAAAAGTACGTTCAGTGGACATTTAAAATAAGGAATGAAAAAGGTGACTTTTAGAGAAAGGATAAAGATCTATTTAAGTAAAAAACGAAAGAGAAATTTTTTGAGAAGTCCGCAATCGAATATCATTCCATTAAAAGGATTATTCCATATAGAAATATTTAGAGGAGAGACTGCGCAGTGTTTGTCGTAACAGACCTCAGTTTTCATGGATAGTGTATGCGCAGAAACAAAAAAAAAAGAATGCAGGGTTGAGTAGAATTTATTTTCGTTTCCCTTCATTGCTCAGAAAACTCTACCGTATGGTCTGTCACGCTCCAGACACCAACATCAGAATACGTCTGCAAGCATCTTTGCAAGTGTGACTCAGATATTCCTTTCATCATCAAAGTCGGTCTTACTTCTGAAAGATCAATTGCAGAACGCCCATATGCTAACTCTTTGATTATAGTAAAGATGGAAGCGTCTGATGTGGACACCGTTCGTCTTCCATCAGACGTCGGACGATCCTGCAAAGATGCTTTGCTACAATCAAGAAGCCGACCTGCTTCACGAACGTCCACATTTGTAACACGTTCAGAAAAACGCAACCTTGCGCTGGCTTGAGAAAGTCGAATAAGGCTTAATAGTGTTCGCGCTGTCACCACATTGCTTCGATGTGTAGCTTGAGCACGCATTTCGCAATATATGTCACTCATAGCTTTAGCAGCAACAGGATCTACAATAGGGTGAATTCGCTTTGCTTCACCAATATATGCACGGAGAAAATCCTTTCCAAAATATTCAGTGGATAAAACCTGAACTGTGCCACTCGATGTTGCTCCAGGTGCTACGCCGTGGAGATGAACATGTGTAACGTGCATAGAAAGTTCAGTATCACGCTCACGGGTTGATTCATCTAACAAAAGCCACAGAAGATCAAAGCGGGAGAGCAGAGCTGGTGGTAAGTTGACATTTTCGCTGGGGGTTGCATTTCGGCGCCATCTGCCGTACTTTGGATTGGAAGCTGCCAAAATGGAGGTTCGTGCATTGAGGGATGTAATAATTCCAGCCTTGGCAATGGATACAATCTGCTGTTCCATAACCTCATGTAAAGCTGTCCTATCCGTTTCATCCATTTTGTCAAATTCATCAATACAGCAAACTCCTCTGTCAGAAAGTACGAGAGCGCCCCCCTCAAGCATAATCTCACCTGTGTGCAAATCTCGAGTGACAGCTGCAGTGAGACCAACACCAGAACTTCCTTTACCTGTAGTAAAAACAGATCTGGGAGCCACAGATGCAATCCACTTCAAAAGTTGGCTTTTCGCTACACCAGGATCACCCATGAAAAGAATATTGATATCACCTCGAATACGCACGCCATTTTTAATCGAGCTACCCCCGATTAATTGACATAAAAGTGCCTTTTTCACATCCTCCATTCCCCATATTTCTGGTGCAATGCTTCGCGTCAACTTTTCAATCACTGCTTCACGATCTGGATAGTTCTGTGCACTTTCTATTTGTCCTCGTAGATCCTCAGCTGTCTCATCATAGCTACGTTTTTCCAAATCAATATGCATAGCTCGATAGAGAGTTTTGACCATTGTTGACGCTCGGAATGCCTCGTGGCCCTGACCAGTCGATGGATCTGGACAATAAGTGCCAGTGATTCGAATGACTTGGCCAGGACCAGCAACCCTTGTTTGTTCACCTTCACAAATTACTCGAATCGTTCGCGGTATTGCACCTCTCGGTACATCCTGAGGAAGTTCCTGCACCCTCAACTCTTGGTATTTTATGAATTTACTTGCTTTATACTGGGGAAGCAATCTACCAATTGCATTTTCCATTTTGCACCGCTGCGATTGGCATACCTGCTGTGGTGTCAAGCGGTCACCAATAACTTGCTGAAAGGTAGTTTCGGCACAAACTTCACAAACAGATACCAGCATAACCAATTTAGGTCGAATAGCAGTTGCTGCTATGCATATACCACGCAAAACAGTAAGCGTACCAATTGTAGCACCTTTGAGATTTCTCAGTGAAATAGGGGATGAAAAATCGCTTAATGGCACGACATCTAGTTCATAACGACGCGCCAACAGTGAAGGAAAATCTTGGCCGGAAGTTCGAGCTTCAAATAATAACTGATCGATCATGTCATCTAAACGTCCATTCTGCGGTATAAAATTATCGATGACTCTATAAAGCTCCTCCATGTATCCAGACACATTCATTTGAATACGTTGAGCTAGATGAAGCTGTCCAAACGCAGACATGTCATCTAGTTCTATGACAAAGACTTTAGTAGTTCTCTCTGCTATTTTGTTAGCTTTGTCAAGATACTTAACAATCCCATTAGCATCACGATATTCTTTAAAAAAGTTCATAAATATCTCACGATCATTCAAGTAGTTAGGATATTTCCCACTTGCAGCAGCAACATACCCTTTTTTGTCATTCATGATTTAAGAAACTTTAACTGAAGATTCATAACAAAAAAAAATCAAAAAAATGACATTGATATAATTGGTAACGGTAATTTATTGTGCTAATATATATATATATATATATATATATATATACATCCATCAATTAATTTAACCCATTAGCTTCGATTAAACAAGATAACATAGAAATGCTTATACGTTATGATTGATTCTAAATATCAGATAAAATGTAAAAATATTTGAGGCATGCCATAGACAAAGTCATACAACAAGGCCTTCGCTAAATAAGATTGCACTGAATATGCTAGAGTTAAACATTGATGTCACTTCTTCTATAACTGTAAGCTATAACAACTATGAAACTCGAATCGGAAAATATGTTATAAATTGTCGTCAAGTACTTTTTCGGCTTCGATAAGTACAGATTTCGCCTGTGTGAGTAGCTCCTCATCATTGATACATTCCTTCTCCTTATCTATATAATCAGAAATGTCCTTTGCTGCTGTTCTGATACGGTTTGTAGAATGAGGAACCATCATTTTGGCCTCATTGAGAACATTTTCCTGTTGAGTAACTCTGTCAGGTTCAGTTGCTCTAATCTTCTCAAGTCTTTCTGTTTCTTGTTCAACTTCCTTTTTCGCAAATGTCAAATCTTTAATTGTACGATGAAGAACATTGAGTTTGATTCTTAATGTTCTTGTACTTCCAAGCTCCGTTTGATTACTAGTATTAGCTTGAAATCGGTTTCCTTTTTTCAGATCAGACATAGTTCAAATTTGCAATAAATGTGTAGTAAAAAAAAATGTAATTTTAAGATAGAAACGTTAAATAAGCTTAAAATAAAAAATTGGAGGTAAAATTAGAGAAACGCTATTATGTAAAAAAAATTATATATATATATTGCATTTCCTTTTCCTTTTTCAAACTATCTGATTAGTGAATTAATAGAGATATTACATAATTTGAGCATCGCAACATTAATTTTTAGTGGTCATTCTGATCAGCAGCGAACATTCCCTTGTCATTGACCATTCCATAAAATCCCAAAACTTGTTTTACTGTGGTAGTTGTAAAATCGTCCGTTCCTCCAAACTCATCAAATCCAATGATACTATGAAATGTGTGCTGTTTTTCAACAAGCATTAGTGTCGGAAGCATCATAACATTAAACCTTTCAGCAAGTGATGGTATTCTTTCAACATCTACATAACAGAAACGGGTCTCAAAATGTTCTTTTGCAATAGAATTAATGTGTCGTTCGATAATTTCACAACGAGGAGTACTACGCCGCATAAAGTGAACAACAACTCGCTCAGAGTCCTTTACCCAATCAAAAAATTCCTTAGGTTCGGATACCTCAAGATATTGTCCATGGCCTTTCCTCAACCACTCATCTCTTCGTCTTTGAATTTCTTTTACTTGATTAAGTCGCTTCTGGCGAATGGCACGCAATTCATCGTCATCCAATTGATCAACACGTTCAAGCTCATCATCTACAGCGCGCTCAATTGTCTCTGCTATTTTCAGAACAGCCTGCTGGTTGAACTCTTCCATTTGCGTAATCCAATATATATATATTTTAGAGGGTATGTATGTTATCAATATAAATTTTCCTTTTCTAAATTATTTATTTTTTATCAATTCTCATTCTTGATGCAATTTGAAGCTACAAAGTAATACCAAAGTTTTTAAAAAAATGAATATATTTATATATATATAATATTACATGAGTAACTTTTTAGTAACATAAACAAATTGAAATATTAGGGTTCAATATCTGAAAATCACTTTAACAATTCAAAGAACCATAGTACGTATTAAAAAAATCATTTGTTTTTGTACAACTAGATAGAATCTTATTATCTCCTTTATTCAATACTTCCTTCATAAATCGATAGGAAGGGCATGTTTGATTTGTGAAATACGGTAGCAAACAGGAAGTTGTCTCAGCAAAGGTCAAAATGGTTTTTCGGAACGAATAATTACCCGTGGTAAAAAAAACTTGGAAATCTTTCCAGAACGAAGAGGGTAAATAAGAAATGCCATGAACAAAGCTATCACGCACTTGCAAAAGTATATTAGCAATCAGAATTTTATCACGCGAACGAGCATACATCTTTGCATTCGAACGTAGAGCTGAGCACACCTCTGCTGCTTTATTGGGCTCGGTGTGATATCCTGTAAAGTTGTTAAAATGCTCTTTAATTTCACATAAAATAGAATTATACAATCTTCGAACCTCTAAGTGCGTCAAATTTCGAGCATCACCATAGCGCTCCTTCAATGCATACCAGTTATATGAATTGAGAACTGGTGAATGTATAGGATCAATTACATTGCCTTCTCGAGTAATACTCAAAAATATACCAAGTAGAACGACAAGAATAACAATATAGAAGAAAAAACGCATTTTAGACGCACTAACTGTGAATATGGAAAAAAAAGGATGCAGAAGCTATAAAAAGATTATGGGATAATTAGATGATAGATGCAAAAAGGGTTAAACTAACACTCATCTATGATCAAATAGTCAAGAACAATATCACAAAAATCAATCCTAGTAAATCCAAAGAACACTTCGTATTAAACATTTATAGAATTGTAGAAAGAAGACGGGAAAAAAGCCATAATTAGTAAAAAAAAAATCAGACACACTATTCCAATTAACAGTATTTTAATCATCACTCTACGAAATACAATCACGTCAATATAACATAAAAATGTCGAAAAAAGGTACGAAATTGAAATTGAAGACTAAAACCCCGATAACTACTGAGGAATAGTTAACAATCCAGACTGTAAAGACTGGTAATTTTCAAAAAAAACGATAAGCGATAAAATCCAAAACAGCTTGCATTAAAAATATATATATACTTCAAAATAAACATCCCATTTGAAGAAATATAATACCATGAAAATATCAAGCCCCCCACCGCCCATATTCGTAAAATCTAAGAAGTAGCAAAAAGGCTCGAAAAAAAAATGAAAAAAAAAAGATAGAGACAATAAAATTAAAAAAAAAAAGATAAACAAAAAAAATCCAACGGAAATCTACGAAATCACCCTAGGTAGCCTCCAAAAAAAAATAAAACCATATCCAAAGATCAGTCAAAAGCAGGAAAAACAGACATTTTCAAGAA